ACAAAAACAAAGAGAGGGAGAAGGAAAAATAAAATAAAAAGTAATAGAATTAAGGAGCTAAATCCACCCCAAGAGCAGAACGATCTCAAATAGCAAGTAACGAATACAGAAATTGAATAAATGGTCAATTATTCGTCGCCACTTCAAATGGCCAAATAGCGCGAGGTCGGTCTTTTATAAGATACGATGACTTGGCTTTATATGAAAATAAAAAACTGACTTAGGAGGATTTAAAGCAATAATTATAATTTTTGGTAAAATCCGGCGCATAACGCGCACTTCGAACACAAAAAATAAGACTGAAACTTAAGGGTGTGCGTTATACGCCGGGTATAAAAACCATAGCTTTAAAAATAACAAAAAAGATGAGCATATAAAAAATATTTACTTCTACATGTATCGCAACACTGTTTATTTAAAAGAAACGACTTCCTTTTCGAACTGAAAAAGTTTATGGTGTTAATTTATAGCATGATGATTAAAAAATATTAAAAATGAAATAAATTTACATCCATTTCAGAAGGTGAAAATATTGAACATCCTTATTCCGCTCACTCCGCTATTTTTTTTTATTTTATTTTCCTAGCTGGTTCTACAGTTCTAAGGCAACTCATTAAATCCATCATATAATTTTTTTTCATTGCCAGGTAAAACAGGATAAAAGACTACTAATCTGAACTTACAAATAAAGACATACATTATTTCTCTGACAAATAGAACTAAATATTCTACTCCCAACGAATTTTTCGTTGAAAGAGTAATAACATATCCAAGCTCATTTGCCTTCCTTCATCCATCAACACCAGTTACTACAAGTTTCTCTCAGTTCTAAAAGTACATATACTATTTTTTCAAAAGTCTGGGATAATACATGGAATGAATGACTAAAACATAAAAGCAATGTATACAAATATTTCAGATTTCCTCGTAAAAAAGGGGGTGCGTTATACGGCGAATATACCTAAAAATAAAAAAAATTCAGCTTGAAAGTATAGGTGCGCGTTATACGCCGGATTTTACGGTGATTAATATTGATTCTCTAAAAATTAGAACTTTCGTCTTCTAAAAAATAAATTTTTACTAACGCCCGAAACAAGGTCTGATAGAATCATAGAGCCTCTTATCATAGATGGACTATCTACTGGTCGATCCATTGTAGTTCTAAATATGTACCCGCGATAGCCTAGTGATTATACTCGTGGGCGGCTTGTCATAAGTTCAAGCCCCAGTGCCACTTCAGACCAGCCGTGTAAATGAGCTGATGCACGTTCAATCCGTCTCGAGGCATGGAATCCTCCCGTTGATGTAGTGGGGAATTTTAGAGAGGGGTGAGAGCTCAGGTGTCGCTTTCGTCACTTGACTGAGGTTCAAAATTGCGAGGTCCGTCGCCAATAGCCCATGGGTTGCTTCATAGGGCGATCTAAATAAACAATCACACTCATTAAATATATCTAAAGTGCAGGAGGTTTAATTCATTGATTGTATCGAGTCGCTCGATAGACATGAGTGAGTAAATATTAATCAACGCCACACTTCGAAGCTGTACCTGTGTTATTGTCGATAGCCCTCGCAGTTCTGAGCCCCGGTCAAGTGATGAGGATGACTCCTCAGTTGGCATCGCATTCTTTATGCTTCCTCTCCTCACTAACGTGAGGACTTTCAGCGCCTATAGCAGGGATCGGCAACATTTTAGCTGTGGCGTGCCAAACCCATCTACCAATAGGACTCAGCGTGCCACACAGTAGGATGTTATTGAAACAATTCGATTCCCGCGAGAATGCATGCAGGATTAAAGAGTAGAGATGAATAATTTAAATGTACAGTTTTATTATCATTAATTTCGTATTATTGAAGGATATATCTTAGCATGAAAATAAACACCATAAAATACAGCTATTTCGTGCCAAAATTGAAAAAAAATTTTAATTGTGCATGCATTGTGTATTATTAAACACATTTATTAAAAAAAAAGAAATAGACTACTTAGAATATAAGTATTTCCCTTCCTTAGAGTTAAATAAAAAAATAAGTAAAAATTTTAATGCGAATCTGGTGCTTGCTCTGTGCGCTACTTTCATATTGTAAAATCCGGGGGTATACTTTGTGATTTTCAATTTGACACGATTCTGAGCATTCAGTTAAACACTTTCTTTGTGGACTCGAAATATTCTTCATATGAGGAAAGACTTTTTACTGACAATGAGATTATGTAGAATCAAAAGCGGAAAGCAGAGTACATGCAAAAAAAAATTCTCTTTTTCAATCTTTTAAATCTCTCCAGCAATGACTGTCAATCATTTACAAAGTAATTGCAAATTTATCTTTGGAGTTATCTTTCAGATTTTATCATTATTCCATAAATGTCCATAATCCGGAAGATGTTTGTCAAATAAAGTCCATTACAAACTTATTACTTTCCATATACTCAAAAATTGACAAATTTGTAGAATAGTGTAGAGTGCCACCGAGTATTGTACCACGTGCCACATGTGGCACGCGTACCACAGGTTGCCGACCCCTGGTCTATAGATTTAATCAGCATCAGCATCTCTATACGGAGGGTCTTTAATGGTACCTGAATTCGAAACCAAGATTCGACAGAGTCGCCGTCGTCTGCCATGAATTTTCAAGCAACTATGATCCTGACCAAAGGGCATGCCTTTCTCTAGAAATGAAGAACTTAACTTGGTTTTTTGATTAAAAAAATTAATGAAAAAATTTAAAAAATAACATGTATTAATGATCTTTTAGATGTTCTAAACCCGGGATGGGCATTAAATCGATCGCGAACGACCGGTGGACCGTCAAGACATTTTGAGGTGACCGCCTTCACTAAGACCCAATAATCATTCCATCATACGAAGGTCTAGAAATACCGTATTTATTCAAATCTAAGCCGTGTTCCAAATTCTCAATAAGATTTTATGAAAATTGAAAAATAGTCTAAAAAACGGTTTATCGATATCCGATTTTATGAAATTAAAATAAATTATAAAGAAAAACTAATAAGAAGTGAATAATCGGTCATTTTATCAGTATTATAAACTTTTAAGCACATGCATGAAACTCTTAATTGCTCTAAATACCCCGTCAAACAAATTTTTACCCTTCGATTCTAAGCCGTGCCCAATTTTAACTCAATTTTCACCAGTAGCATTAACATAGGGGGAAAAGTGTGGCTTAGATTCCAGTAAATACGGTATTTTAAAAAATACGGAGGAAAAAATCGAATCATAAGAGGAAATTCCGTTGAATAGAAAATGCACTTTGATAATTGGAGGTTATTTTACGAAGAAAATCGTAAAATATTATTGGTTCCAGAAAAAAGTTCGCTAAATAGAGAATTTCGTAAAATGAAGGTCCGACTGTATTGTATACTTTCTTTGAGTTCACTACACCTACGCCACTGGGTGGACCGCAACACTTTATAAAAATTAAGAGTAGCCCGCGCACTCGAAAAATCTGCCCACCCCTGTTCTAAACCAATGCTCCCCAACCTTTCTATCGCCGCGGACCTGTCAACGTTTGATAATTTTACCGCGGCCCACTGAAGGAGGGGGACGTTGATTGTTTATATTTTAGATTACTTTTATTTAATAATTTTAGTTTAACTGTATTTAAACATGCCTTCAGAATAAAATAGTTACACCAAGAAATTAATATTAAGTGTTTTAACATGGTATATAAAATGATTACCATAAAACCTTAGAGTAATACACCGCAGTATATAAAACGAAAATAATTTAATATTCCTTTTTCGGACCGGGGGCTGGGAACCACAGTTCTAAACCATGTTCTGTTCAGCTATAGACTGTTAAGAACCATCGATTTAGAATAAGAGGAAATTGAAATCGATAACTCGTCTCGTCAAGCCTTTACAAAGCAAATAAAGCCCATATTGTTCGTTTATACAACATTTCGCGCAATGCGAAGAAGTAATCATATTCACGAAACCATGACCGAATCCATTATCGATTCTTTTTTTCACAGAAAACATTACTTAAAACTACTACTTCAGAAGCTAGTTGACAACTAGGTGGGAAATTATTTTCGAGGAAAGTGATTAGAATTATATTTGGGTTTTCGGCATTGTTGCACTCTCAAATGGATTATTTTCGCGAAATGGATGATGACACAGTGGAGGAAAAAAACTGCGAGCTGTCTCAACTAGGACTAATAATATTCTTTTGTTTTGACTATTACCGTTCTGAAGACGAGTATTAAACTCGGTATCCATGCCCTGTTAGTAAGTAGGCCGGTAACATTAATTCAGATTACGTAGTTTTAAATAACTCGCCGTGTTACCTATTCTGTTTGTAAGATGCAGTTTGTGGAAGATTGTTTACTGCATATTCTTTAATGCAGAAAACGTAATGATCTGAAACGGGGGGAATAATATATCCATGGCTAAGGTAGCGACATCGCAGTTTCTCTGAATTTGAAATCTTGCTTCTGAGTAATGTTTATTTGATGAATTGTTTACTGAGAGGGAATTCTGGTAAAATCCCATTGGGATTAATGGAAATGAGAAATTGTGAGCTTAATCCGATTTTTATTGCAATGCTTAGATGGGTTTTTAAGTAAGGAAGGAACTTCTGTGATAAGAATGATTTTTTTTCTTGGAAAAATAAAAATATCTTCGAAAAGTGTTTACCTACTTTCGCATGAAACTTTGTTTTAATGTTTTGAGAATATCCAAAGAAAAACAATAGTAAATGACGAAAATCCATGCCAATTTAATTATTATATTGTGTGTGTTTCTATTATTACTTTTTCATTTAATTCATGCTATTTGTTCACACAAAATCTCCCTATATAAATATTTTTTTCAAATTTTCAATCGTTTACTTTCTATTCATCCATTCAAGTTCAAATACATTTTTTTAAACTTGTGGTGGATGACACTTGATATTAATACAGTTTTTTCAAATGTTAATTCATTACTTAAATAGTAAAAAATAATAGTCCAACACTATATATACAAAGGAAATATACTCGTTGTGACCCTGTAGCGCAATGGATAGCGTGTTGGACTTCTAATCCAAAGGTCGTGGGTTCGAATCCTGCCTGGTATAGCCTGATTTCTGATAATGTAATTTATGAATGAATAAATAGTAACTAGCAAAAATAGTAGTCTGACACCATATATACTAGAAAGGAAAATAGCTTTCTGTTTTTTCACTTATAATATTGTGATTCTGTCGTATGTAAATACATATTTATATTAATTGCAATTATTTAATAAAAAGTAACTAAAATAAAAATTTTATTTGTTGGCTTAAGTAGGTATGTCAATTTTGATTAAAAAAAATTTTTAAGAAATTTTATGTTACTTGTTTTACTTAACTCACTTTACTATCTTTTGGATCTGTCATAAATTACGTTTTTATATGTATTCGTAAGCAGCTTTCCGTGTGTAAATTAAAATCTCTTAAGTCAAAGGCCGGAAAACAGCGACCGCGAAGAGTTTTTTTAAGGCCCACCAAGACAATCAGAAAACCAAATAAACAGAAAATGTTCTATTTGGCCAACATATATTTGTCACCTAAGTTTTTTTGTATGGAGATCAACTAAAGTAAATATAAATACAAGTTGGCTGTCATTAACTTGCAGGCTTCGATGAGAATTTCAACAAGCTATTTGACACTTTTAATAAAAAAAAATGTTGAAAAGTCTGATAGTACACTTGTCTCATTAAATTTAGATGGTATAGAATAGGGGTGAGAAAACCTTTCTAGGGTACGGGCTACTTCTAATTTTTTCTAGGTGTTGAGGTCCACCCAATAGTGTAGGTGTGGAGAGCTAAGAAATATTTTTACAATATTTATTATAACTTAATTATAAATACGGAATATGAACTAACATACAAAACTACAATAAAACAAGTATTATAAAAAAAATTTTATATATGAGTCAATTTCTACTTAAGTCAACAAAGAAAATTTTTATTTGAGTTACTTCTTATCAAATAATTACAATTAATCTAAATATGTATATACATATGACAGAATCACAACATTAAGTGGCAATTAATATTTATTAATAATCATTAAAGTATCGTACTGTTGTGACGGCCTCACGCGTCTTTTCCTTAACATGTCCTTTGGGGCCAGAATTAATGGCAACTCTTTTCCAACCAAATCCAAGAAGTGAAGCGTGAAAGAAAGATGCAAATTAGGAAGCTTTAAGTATCAGAACTTAGAGTAAGCATAGTGGCAATTTGAGGAATGTAAACATAATCCGTGGTTCAAGCGTGAAGAAGTTTTGCAAAACGGTACGTTGCGACTAGTAGAAATTATACGTGATAGAGATCCATTGAGTCAAGGTGCATACCATTGCACTCGAGCAATTACAGGGCCTCATCTAGGATTGTTGTGATCGTTACTAAAACTACAGCAAGGTAGGATTGACTATTTAATATTAGGATCTGCAATAGTATTAGAATTGAGTTTAGGCGAGTCAGTTATTGATAGTGGTCCGGATTTGGTTAATTCGGTATTATATGTATATTGTGTATTTTGCCACCGTAGATTCTCTCACATATATAAATTATTATAATCTAGTTTGTTAAAGGATTAAGTTAAATATCTTAATAAAGTCGTATTAAGGTAATGTATGCTTCTAGTTCTTTCGTTAATCCTACACCTCTAGCTCACGCTGATAATCAAAGAGATGCTCACCCGGGGGGAATATCACACTGTCATCCAAAACAATCATGTATATAAAATTTCAGTTCAACTGAATGCTTTAAAACAGAGAAAATTTTTTTTTTAAAGTTTTGATCCAAGTCGCTATAATTGAAGCCAACGTGACTGTATCTGTAATTCTTTAAATAATTAGTTTCAGTCAATTAATTTTAATTAATTATAATTAAATTATCGAATTGTCACCCAAAACTATCGTGTTGAGAAAATTTCAGCTCAAATGAGTGCATTACAGTGTGAGAAAAAAAACCTTTTAAAGTTTTGACAGAAGTCGCCAAAATGGTCGCATAAAAGGATGCCAATGTGGCTGCATCTGTAATTCTTTGAATAATTAGTTTTAATCAATTAAATTTTATTAATTATAATTAAATTGCCGTATTGTCATCCAAAATAATCGTATACATAAGATTTCAGCTCAGTTGAGCACTTTAAAATGTATTTTATTAACGATCGAAAATTTGAACAAGATATAGGGAGATTGTGAACTACTAATGGCAATTGAAAAAAAAATTCTTACACTTTAAAGCCCGCGTTTAAAGCAAAACGAGAGAAACAAACGTAATAATAGTCACAAATGTAATAATATCAAGTGATGCAATTATTATCAAACAATTCAAAGTACAGAAAAAATTAAACATTTTTATTTAAAGTTAGATCCCGTAATTATAGTCAATAGAGAAGAGTTAGTCGGTACACTGTTTGACAATCTTGCATATTTCAGTATATAATTACTTACTGCTAATATTCAGGAGGTCATCTCCAAAATATCTCGGCGATCCAGAGGTCAATCGCGATCTACTAAACGCCTACCCCTAATATAGACAATATGAAATTAGCACATTAAAAATAAATTGAATAAAAAAACTCACTTTTTAATTTTTTTTATTTTTACAGTACAATTTATACAACCGCACGTCCGGGGCAGTGATTAGCGAAGTTGACTGCTGTACCGTAGGGCCTGGGTTCGAATCCAGGAGAAGGCATGGGTGAATGTAAATGAAAAATTACTTCTCGGCATGGGACATTCTAAATATGCTTCGAAGAGCAAGTCCTATCGTGAGGTTGGTGAAAGGAGAACAAAAGCGAGAAACCCCTGACCACTTCCCAGGGTGTTCTCCCTCAAAATTGGGGTGCTACCGAGCCAAATCGTACTGTCACATACACGGTGCTCAAGGCTACGGCTAACGATAGGCTTACAGCTAGTCCCTTTCAAGAATGAATTTCGCGGGCTTCGATCTGACGTTACTATCGATCGGGTGGCCTAAGCAACAAGATTATGTGGCCACGGTAGCCTTGCGGTCAAGGCAACGGACTCGTGGTCGGCGTGTCATGAGCTTGAACCTAGAACCTCTGAAGACCCGCCGTGTTGGGAACCGATGCACATTAAATCTGTCGAAGCTCAACTCAGTTGTCATCTTCGTCACTTGACCATGGTTCAAAATTACGAGGTCCGTCGCCAAAAGCTCTCGAGTAGCTAAATAGTGCTCGCTCACTCACTCAGCAATGGCAACACACCTTTTCTAAGGTACAAAGTTAACTAATGAACAGAATCGTTTTCAAAAGGTGCACCCCTCCTGAACACTCCGCTTCCGCAAATTGGCCCCTCGTGCCAAAATAGTTGCAAAATAGTGAATATAAGCGTGATGAATTCTTATATTCCAAGTTTGTATAAATGTTAATAATGAAATGTGTGTGTGTGTGATTATGACAAACCATAATTTAATAATAAATCAAACTGCAGTTTAATAATATAGGTAACCTAAACTAAAGGGTGTTTTTTTCGAGGAATAGAACTTTAAATTGCAATAAAACAACGATGTATTATTCGATTGACGTGAATTTTTTTTTATTCGAAAGATAATCTTGTGGCATTACATTTTAAATATGACTTCTGGCATATGACTGCCACGGCTGGCTCGGATGTAGTCCAATCTGGACGTCCAATTTTCGATGACTTTTTCCAACATTTGTGGCCGTATATCGGCAATAACACGGCGAATGTTGTCTTCCAAATGGTCAAGCGTTTGTGGCTTATCCGCATAGACTAATGACTTTACATAGCCCCACATAAAATAGTCTAGCGGTGTCAAATCACAAGATCATGGAGGCCAATTCACAGGTCCAAAGCGGGAAATTAGGCGGTCACCAAACGTGTCTTTCAATAAATCGATTGTGGCACGAGCTGTGACATGTTGCGCCGTCTTGTTGGAACCACAGCTCCTGGACATCATGATTGTTCAATTCAGGAATGAAAAAATTAGTAATTATGGCTCTATACCGATCACCATTGACTGTAACGTTGTGGCCTTCATCGTTTTTGAAGAAGGATTCCACCAGCCCATAAAGCGCACCAAACAGTCAGTTTTTCTGGATGTAACGGTGTTTCGACATACACTTGTGGATTAGCTTCACTCCAAATGCGGCAGTTTTGTTTGTTGACGTAGCCATTCAACCAGAAGTGCGCTTCATCGCTAAACAAAATTCGCTTATGAAAATCGGGAACAACGGCAATCTCGTTTTGGGCCCATTCGACGAATCTACGCCTTGCTTGATGATCGTTTTGATGAATTGCCAAACCAAAACTGAGAATAAATCTCTTGACAGCTGTTAAATCGGTCGCCATCTTGGAAAGTAATGCCAACTTAAACTTCTATACCTGGAAAAAAAACACTCTTTACTATGTAATAAAATATTCACTCTTTAATTATAAGATGTGTAAATCAAATTATCGTTTAATTATACGGTAGGTAGATAAAGTGCCATTTTAAAATAATAATTAAAAATAATAAATTTTTAATAACACAAAGTGCTGTTTAGACTAAATAGGATAAATTATATCATTTAATAATAACGTGAATGAATGAAAACGCCATTTAATTTAACAGCTTTAATAGGATATATATTGAGTATATATATTGAGTCCTAAACATTTGCTTACACAAAATGAATAACATTTCTTATCAGGATTACTACCAGATGTATACATATTATATATATATAAGAGAGAGTGAAGAAGAAACAAACACACTTACGATAAATTATCTCACATAAAACGAAAGATTCCGAACAAAAAGAAAAAAGGATTTTAAAGAAAGTAAAATCGTTTATCAACTTATTATTATTATTATTTTACCTCTGTTCTTTATAAATATTGCATTAACTCCAGTCATTTCTGATTATTTCTTTAAAATTGTTATCATTGTGCTGAAAAGGGGATTATTTCCTACTTTTTTTAAGGTTTATTATAATAAGACGAGAATGAGCTTTCTTAATGCATTTTCCAACTTAAGCAATATTGCCGAGTACGAAAATAAAATCTTTCTTATTAATCTTACGATTACCCACTCTACGCTGTATTCTGGTCCCAGATA